TCTCTGGTCATCATTCACAGAAAAGTTTGGCAGATTATTGTCAAACTAGCGATAGCCAACATTTGATAAATACTTAAATACTAATCCCTTATTCGTCTCAAGAATTAGACTTGGATGAGTATGAATTCAATAATGCATATATTGGTTCTTTGAATGAAGAATTGGATGATTTGATCATAAGAATTTTAAGTAATTAAGAATTAAATTTTTTATTTTATTTTATTTAATATGAATTTTAAATGCTAATTTAGAGGTTCAATTGCAAATTCCATCAGTCTCTAATATCCAAGAAATTCAAGCACCAGAATCATCTGACATGTTTATTCAGGAAATTTCAGATGTGATGCAAGAAATTCAAGCACCAGAATTGTCTAACACGTTAATTCAGAAAATTTCAGATGTGATGCAAGAAATTCAATCGACTGCCCTATATCCAAATGATGCTATTGCAACGTCCAATCCACAACCAAAGAAATTCGTAAGTGTATATAAATTTATTGACAATTTTTTTAAATGTGTAATTTATTAATTACAACCTTTATATCTTCATATATGTACATATATTTAAACACAGTTCAAATTTCGAAAATACCTAAGTTAAAACCCCACACCAGGACAGGCACATATCTTAGGTCATCAGTAATGGCACCATTTAAACCACCCTGCCATCCTGATTCTCCATTGTATGCATCTTATGGAAAACGTAGAAAACCATTGTCAAATATTAATAACATCATTATTCAGCTTCCTCCGGGTACTTCTCAGAATTATGAACTAAAAATAAATTTGAAAATGAATTAGATTTCATTTAATGTATTTTCAAATTACTTAATAAATTAAAATGTACTTAGCTTAAGAATTTATTGAATTTATTTATTGTTCAAATATAAAGTGTTGAAAATTTGTGTATTTTCAATTGTAAGTGAGCGAAAATTTGTGTATCGGTGATTATAAAGTGACAAATAATGTATGTGAAAAACGTCAGGTGCTCACATAAGAAGTGTCGGATAAGTGTACATTATTGGATGGATGACAAAAAATTGGCTGTTATTTGTCTTTCAGTGATATTTTGCAAAACTAATTTCGTAATTTCATGTAAAAAAATATCATGGCAAAAAAATTCACATGATCATATGAAATGTCAGGATTTATTTTCTATTCGGATTTATTCCTATCCGGATGAACGTTTGAACCAATAAAGGCAAAAATGATTTATATGCAAGTAAATACCGGTAATATTGGTTTGAATTTTCCCGAATTTGCCCGATCGGAAAATGTCGAAGGGTGATTTTCCTAGCAAAGATCCCATATATATTTATATCCGGATTAATCCGGATTTTAAATAAATCCGGATTCAATTTTTTGAATATCTGTATCCGGATATAATATAAATCCGGATATACTATATAAATCCGGATAGAAAATAAATCCGATAAGCTATTGAGGCAAATCATGATTTACATGTAAATAATAACCGGTATGTTGGTTTAAAATGTTCCGAATTAGCCCGAGCGGAAAATGTCGAAGGGTGATTTTCCTAGCAAAGATCCCATATCCGGATTCAAATACTATCTCTAGTTTAAGCAGATGCAGTTTCTCTGTTGCACCAATACGATGAACTTTAAAAATATTAACCACCCAATATTTGAACTTCGTATTACACTGAAGGTTTGAATTTTTTTTTGTACATTTTAACATTTATTATAACAACTTTTAACAACAAGCGAAGCTTGTTTTTCCTTTTGTTAATGAGTGTCTCTAATATTCAGTTAAAGGTTTCACGAGTCATGAAGTTATATTCTTGCGAATCCATAAGAGTTGAAGAAAATATGTAATAAAAACGGTAAAAATCAATTCGAATATAATGAATAAAAAAATAAAGCATGCGACAATAAAAGAATTGTTTTTATAAATATCAATGTAAAATCAATGTAAATATCAAATATTAATGTAATCGTTAATAAATAATTATTATCAGTAGTTTAGTTTATTTGGGTCATTTCGGTCTCATGATCTGCATAACAAATCGACCTGGGCCATTTCAAGGTCGGCGAAAATCGAGAAATAACACGACGTGAAACAATAACAGGTCAACTAAGTTATTCTTGTTATTAGAAATGACCCGGTTTGCGATTTGGAAACGGGTTTGTGATAGCAAATCAGCGTAATCACAAATCGCAATTATTGAATGTGTTCCAGGTTGATAGCGCAGCTTTCCTGACTACGAATAGGGCTTCAAGATCAAATGTAGCGTTACATGATCAAGAAATACAAAGTTTGTTTCGTCAAAAATCGCTTATTTCTTGAACAAAAAGTTCTTGGAGAGTAATTTTACTATATAAATTACTAACCTTTAACCATAGTATAAACACTAACCCATAAACGAACTTAAAAAGAATTTTTTCTGCGCCATCAACATACCATACATTCAAGAATTGCATTGCGGAATATAATATTACAGCATTTTGAATTAATTCTACCATATAAAAAAAATATCACAGTGTTATAATTTAACAATTCTACAATATGAAAAATAACACAATGCTGTAATTCAATAATTCTACCATTTAAAAATATCACAATGCTGTAATTCATTAATTTCACCGAAATAAAAAATATTAATAGAAACATACTTGGTGCAATAATTTCCGCAAAATGGAGCAAAGGAGCTAAAAGAATTCATAATTCTAACAATGAGCGTTACTATATTCGATCAGGTCCCTGTGCAATTGTTCTAAAGAAATTTATGAAACAATCTTCTTTGCTTACGGAAGAGCAGTTTCAAGATCGATCTGGTTGTTGTTTATATGGAATTACCCAGAATCCCTCGACATTAGAATACATGTTTGTAGAATCTACATTTCTATGCAGCAGTTGTCTTCATAGTGTGCTAGCAAGCGAATTTTCTAACTGGTCAAGTGGAAATTTACAAATTGACGAATTTATTAGAAAAGCGCAGTTGTCATTACCTTATAGTCGGTATCCTGAATGGATTCCATATAATTTTTTATCCAAAATAAAATATATTGACAGAGGAGAATTTGGCGCAATAATTTCAGCAAAATGGAGCCAAGGTGTCAAAAAAATACAAAGTTCTAACGATGAACGCTATTACATTCGATCAGATCCCTGTGCGGTTATTCTAAAGAAATTTATAAACCAGTCTTTACCTATAGAAAAGCAGCTTCAAGATCGATCTGATTGTTGTTGTTTATACGGAATTACTCAAGATCCTTCAACACTAGAATATATGTTTGTTGAACCCACAGATTTATGCGACAGTTGTCTTCATAGAGAATTAATAAATGAGTTTTCTAACTGGACTAGTGGTAATTTTGAAATCGATGAATTTATTCAAAAAGCACAACTCTCATCATCTTATATTAAGTTTCCTGAATGGATTTCATATGACTCTTTAACTGAAATAAAATCTATTGGCAAAGGCGGGTTCGGAAATATATATTCTGCAAAATGGGATAAAGGAATAAAATGTTTTGCTGTAATAGACGGAAACAAATATTATACTCGATCTGATCCCTGTACTGTCGCATTAAAACAATTAAAAGGTGAAAAAGACTCCATTCATCTTTTTCTTAAAGAGGTATGGATTGTAAATGTTCAATTTTAGAAGCGTTTACAGAAATATTAAATAAATTTTATTTGAATGCAGATTCAAGCTCAATTTAATTGTTGTCATTTATATGGAGTTACCAAAGATCCTTCAACATCACAATACATGTTTGTAATGCGCTATGCACCACAAGGAGATCTTCGACGATTCTTGCAGAAAAATTTTGATAAATTAACCTTAGAAAGCAAATTGAGTATAGCACAGTCTATATGTATGGAACTTCAAAATATTCATGCTAAAGGTTGGGTACACGGTGATCTTCATTGTGGAAATATTTTATTATTAAATGAGAAAGATGCCTTTATTTCAGATTTTGGATTATGTCGACCAATAAATGAAACGAAGATGCATGAAAAAAAATTTTATGGGGTCATACCAAATATTGCACCAGAGATATTTCGTCTTCAATCTCCATATTCTCAGGCAGGAGACATTTATAGTTTAGGCATCATTTTATGGGAATTGGCTTGTGGACTTCCTGCATTTTCAAACAGATCGCATTGTGCAAACTTAATAATGGATATTTGTAATGGTCTTCGACCCAAAATATGTCATTTTGCACCTCCAACTTATAATGATTTGCTAAGAAGATGTTGGGATCAAAATCCTTCAGAACGACCGACTATAAGCGAAGTATTAAATTCTATTAATCCGTTATGTATATGTTTTAGGTATAATTATGATAGTATTCAGAATATTACTGTTGATGAAAGGCAATATTGGACTACTCGAAAAAAATTTAAATTTGTATCATTGTCTGGTTATATAGAGGAATTGACACTTGATGAATATGGATCTAAATATAAAGAGGTCAATAGATGGAGAAATTCAAGTTTAAAACGAGATCTGATTAATTCGCATAATGCAACTATGACATATAATATTATGAAATGGAAACCGGATATTCCTATTCATCCGAATGCGGTATATAAAAGTCGCATGATTAGTATTAGTAATGAGTATATGACTCGCCAAAATGATATGACACTTCGATATGAAATTTCTGATATACTATCATAAGTTTATGAACTATATTATCAATAAAGTTTACAAATTATGGTCAATTTGCTACTAATATTTAATATGTTGTAGTCGTTGTTGTAGGCTTTTCGAATGGATCAAATATAAATGCATTGTAACTAATCTTTTAGGTAATCAATGCTACATTTTGTATAAATAAAAATGCATAACAATGATTTATAGACTTTATCAACCAATTTCTTTAACTACAGACTTTATACAAAGCCTTATTACATTTATCAGTTGAACAATAAAGTTTAACGAAATTATGAATTAGACGACAAAACTTATATGATGCACAAATTTACTTATAACAAATACTACTATATACAGTTTACCCTCGTTATAACGTAGTGGTCGGGCTGAGAAATTCTGTCCGTTATAATGAATATCCGCTATAGCGTTATAACATAATAATAAAAATTTTAAATTGTTTCAGAAAATTGCTCCGTTATAACGAGGTATCCACTATAACGGGGTCCGTTATAACGAGGGTAAAC